ATCATAAGCGGAAGATCACTGTAACTATGGATCCATGGAGTAAAAATGTAATTCACAATGGTTTCACTAGTAGGACGAACCTGTCAAACCTCAGGAAGAGCAACAATCAGAACCAAAAACTACGGACATACTTTCCCAAACTCGAACCAGTATGTTAATCATTTTAAGTTACAGGTTTGTCGAATTAACATGGTTGTCTGACGAGATATGAAAGAAACAAACATAATAACATGTACCACTAGTTTTTCTTCAAGTTCCTTTCCTCCTCCAATGGTCACAAGGGCTAATTCTGGACTAAGTCCCTCAACATGGCTAGGTTCTTCCTCTAAGAATGAGTATGGTATAAACTGTAGCTGGGATCAATGTGAAAATCAAACAACCGAAACTGCATACTATGTCATATTCAGGACTCCATAAATAACTTAAATCCTATTATACCACTACATGTACACCTCAGATTATTTCAGAGGTGAAGGGTTTCTCAAGAAAACACCGGTAAATAACAACTTTCAAAAAAGTTCAAATCCTTTTTAGGAACAAACAGGAAATCATATACTGAGTAGTAAATGACATATGGAGACACGTCTATGAGATATCAAATGTAGTTCATTACGAAAAGCCTCAAAAGAAGCACCTGAATTGCTTCTCAAATGGCGTAACCATAAGGTCAAATAACCACAGTACCCCGAACCGGATCATAATCAGCGAGCTCAGCGTTTACGATGATGTCAAAGTACCAAGCATTGAAGTCCTGAGACCTAGTTGTTATGACTCTGTCTTTATCTTGAACTCTGGACTTTCTTTCGCGTCACTCTCTTCAATTTCTGGCGCAAGCTCTTTCTCAGGTGTTCTGAGTCGAGAAATTCGTAGCTAAGATACGCCGGATAGGGAGGCGGAGGTGGTTGTGCTGCCGGAGAAGCGACGGATACCGGGTGGAGATGGTGGTGGAAGAAGTGTATACGGAGGTCAGATAGTGGAGTCTCACAGCCCCCACTGGTGAAGAGAGAAAGAGAGAGAGAACCAGAAGGCCACGTTGGTAGTATATTAAATTTTTGTGTTAAATTATAACTTTATAATTCTCCCACAAATATTATCTATGTAATATTTATTTAAAAAAATTAATAATTACGACTATCTAATATAAAAAACGATTTTAACTTTTAAAAAATTAAAAATTACGAGTAGACTTTTATATAAAATTGTATCAGAGGGTGTTTCGGTCTTTTTAATTTATAATACTTATATCAAAAATATAATATCACCTCTAAGTGGTATTTATTAAGACCTTCTACAAGGTATTATGATTACTGTTTATAGCGAGTTGGTATTACGATCCGAAAAATAATACTGACTACAAAATGTCAAACAAATAACATATAAGACGAGTCTCACGTATTATTTTTTTAATACTACCTCTTTATACCACTCTAATACTCAAAAAAACAAACGGGCCGAAGAGTTTTAGCTTTGGGCCTGTACAAGAGGTGAGATTAGGTAGAATTGTGTGTTATGATGTGTATGGTGGTAGATTTTCGTACGCTGATAATTATTAATTAGCCTTCTGCTGAAACATTAACGGTCTAGATTTAATATAGGACTGTGAATGATGGAGTTAAGGTATCGAATGAATATACGGAAAGGTAAGTTCCATAAATTGGGCTGATGGGCTTCATAAATTGGGTTGTTTTCAGGCCTTCCACACACAGAAAGACAGACAAAGGCAGGCTCACAATTCAATTGGACCAATACAGGAGCACGAATGAATTGGGCCAGTGAGTGTTTAACAAGCCCTCAGGTCAGGCCCTGAACATGTAGGGAAGTCTCCGTTTCAAAGAGCTTTTTGAGTTACGCAACTTCATTTTGTTTCTATTTTTAGGCTCATTTTTTGGTTAGTCTAGAATTACTCTCAAATGAAAAACATGTTTGGTCCATATCAACTCATGAATTAGGCGTGTGTATGAGTCACAATTTTCATCAAAATGGACAAAATTTTTAATTATTATGTATTGGTTCAAAACTTTGTAGAAATTATCTAATTAGTTTTAAACCATAGGGAGATACATAGAAGGTATGTAGCATTGATGGTACCTAAGGTCGTATAAAGATATGATTCAGATTGTGAGGTCGTATAAAGATATGATTCAGATTGTGAGGTCGTATAGAGATATGATTCGGATAATATCACAATCAAGTTTAATACTGAATTCAAAAAAGATGACATTACATATTTAAACAATCAAAATAGTATTTGATTCGAGTTATTGACATGTCTTGTGTTATTTAGTGACGGGATGTGGACAGCTTGCCAGTCACAAGTAGACATGTGGCTTATTGCAGCTAGTAGATATGTCCCTCAAGTTCCCAAAGATCGAAACCGAGCGACAAGCATCTCCTAGATTAAGTGAATATAACCCACAATGGGACAAAAAGGTACACAACCAATCTTGAGAATTAATTACTCTTGAGAAGTGCGTTTTGTACAAAATAATGATATGACGAGCAATCAATATAATCACATTAATTTAGGACCTATGCTAAACCGTCGGATAGATAGAGGCATGGCCTTGCCGATTGAGAATAATCATCGAGGGTATTAAATTGAATACTAGGCATGAAGTCATAAATGCTCGATAGACTATTAGTATCCAACGCGGAGCACTCGATGTTCAAGATGACCTAGTGTTCAAAGGGCGAGAAGCCATAAATGTTCGATCCCCCCAAACATTGAAGTCCAATTGCGTTCCATTTGCGAGCATTTATGAGGCATGACATAAAACATTTATTGTGTGGTTCGATGATTGTAGACTGTCAATTCTAAACTACGATTATTCAAGTGGTTGTCACGTCATTAAATTTAAAAGTACAAATACCCTAATAAAAAGGGAAAACATGTATGCATTCTGAACTAGTTTTGCATTGTATATTTATCTTGTTAGAGCAATTTCAACAATGCTATCTAAAATAGTTCCTTAAAATATATTTAAATATTGTATTATCTATTTTAACTAATCACTTTTTCAAATTCACTCCAACAACACTATTTATTTTAGCTAACCACTTCAACTAACTTTCAATAATAAAATTCAAAAAATAGCAATTCAACTATAAATTGTATAAATTTAATCAATTATAGGTTACAAGAGTAAATATCACAAAATACTTGGGGGGGTTTGCTGGATTTTTAAATTTTTTTGGAAATTTTGCTAAATTTTTGGATGAGTTTTACTGGATTTTGAAGAGGGTTTGCTAGATTTTAATCAACTCATCGTCTTCTCCATTCTAAAAGAGATAGAGAGAGAGACCATACATGGTGATACAAACTTCTAATGAATCATCCGACCAAAAAATAAAAAAATAAAAAACTTCTGATGAATCAAAAAAGTAGAAACCTACCTTTGATTTGAGCTTCAAAAATTGGGATCAAAAGGGTTCGCTGCAGATTGTTAGCCTGAACAAAGAGATACCCTTTAACCCTTTGTCCTTCAACAAATCAAAAACTAAACACTAAGATTTTGCAGAAACTGGTCACCATAGTACTGAAACATTTAAGTAAATAAGTTCATACACAAATTCATACATAATTTAATTTATTTGGTTAATGCCATCACCAAAAGTGTCTGAATCTCATACTCGATTTGAAGCTATATACAAAACTATCTGCAAGAGAGAGGACTGATCTGGACTAGCTGCATCTGGAACTCTGTGGAGTGAGAATTTTGGTGTAAAAAATGGCATTTGATGAAGAAGTAGCTAGTCGGGGGAGGTCACCAGATGTAGCGAACAAATATCAGGCTATGAAAAATACCCAACGTAATACCTAACCCGTTAGAGCCAACATTTCTAAACTGGCTATCTAAAATAGTTAAAAACTCCCCTTTACCTAGCCCCTTGGAGTTGCTCTAGTCTTAAGCATTGACTAACTTAACTATCGTATGGGATAAGCCAGGTACATCCCCAACCTTTTTCTTACTTTGTTATCTATTTCAAAAATCTCACTTAAACTTCTCATAGGATAAACTATCTCTAATTATTACAGAAAATCATTGGTACATTTAACTTGTGATTTTATACTTAACAACAACCCACTTGCAAATACCAATGAGAACATCAATGTGTACGCAAACTACACTTATTGACAAAGTTTTAGGCAACCTGCCGTTTGGTTGAATTGTTTGGTACTAAAGCTACCATTAAACTAACTAAATCTTAACTTCCACACCAAAAGTCCCTAATCCTTCATTTTTTGTCTATTAATTAATGTCAGAAAATAGGAAGAAAAAAAAAAGTTGGTGGCACATGAAAAAGCAATGGCAGCAATACAGGTACTCCACACCAGCGAAACTTACCCCACATGAGACCAACCACAACACCAAAATTAATTATCTAACAAGTGGAGAGCAATCCATACACGACACCTAAAATTTTTTAGAACCCAGGTTGTTTGTTATAGAGTGTTTACATTTGTGATGATTATTCTCTCGAATTTTGAGATTGATCATTGTAATTTGAGTTAATTTAAAGAAATGTCCCTTAAGAAATAATTAATTGACTTTTAAAAGAGTGTGAAAAGTATTAAATCTGAGACCTCCTAGTTGCAAGATAACATATTTAACCATTGAACCACCTATAAGAATTAAGTAGATTTGCACAAGGGAGCGTCGACTAATACAAATATTACACAGACTCAAGCAAAAATAAACAGGAAAATTATACAATCAAATAACATAGATATAATTGAATAATTGGAATTAGGCATGATTAAGAAGTTTTATGGTTATTATAAGAAAAGCTATGTGGTTTTGATCATTTTGTAGTGTTACAAAATGATTTTGGTATGGTTATGAAGAATTTGAATAAATTCGATATTTAATTTGAACTACGGATATTGTGACATTCTAATCTCTCATCGCTCAAAAAAGTGTGTGTTAGTTTATACGTACGTACTCTAGAACCATGCAAATCCTAGCTAACGATGACAATTTTACCGTAGAATAAAAATTTAGGCGTTACAAATCCGAATGAGAGAAAATTAGGTACCATCCAACAAATTTTAGTACACTAATTAAACAAAATTGATACAAGTACAAAATAATTGGAATCTAAAACCATTTGATTGGCACAAGACACAATTTGAACATTACATAAAGCTACTCGATTTGACAACCTGTGCTTTTCAAATGGTGGGTCAACCTCCTTTCTATCATAGCGAAGTGAATACAACAATAACAAAATATATTTGGCAATTAATAACAATACTTTTCAGAGAAGGGACCAAAGTGTATTAACGCCAAGCAGATGCGACAGTGAGTGTTCGTCCCATCCAACCAAAGCAGATCCCAGCGGTCTGTTCTTTCACAGTAAATCTCGGATTGCCACGTGGTCCTGAGTTGAGTTCAGAATGTAGCGACTCTGCCACGAGTTGACTCATTGGCTTGGCCTGGAACCCGGCCATACTCATCCGGGCCCGCCACTTCCCCAACACCTCGCATCTTTCAACGCGGTCCCTCCCTTCACACGCAACCGAGTTGACCATCTTTCGACTCAGTCCCTCTTCGATCTTGACTCGGTCCGAGTTATCCATTAGCACAGTCGCGTCAAACGAGTCGAACAACGCCTCGTAATAACCACACACCTCGGTGACACGCGCCACAAACGGCGCAGTGTTGGCATTCATTTCTTGCTCAACCACCGTCACCACGGCCGGCGACAAACTCTTCACACGGCGGAGCAACCCATCCCTTAAATTCTCAGTCGTGACACTCTCGTCCGGCAACTTATAAAGCCGAAATGCGAAATTAACGGCCAAAACTTCATCATTTTCAACACCCAATGCCTCAGAACTCAGATCAGATACTTTGAAATTCAAAACATTAAAAGTTAAACCAACTCCGACTTTGCTCGCCAGAGAATTCAGTCCTTTTCCGACGGTCTTCAACCTATCTTCACTGCCATTGACATAGTCCACAAAAGTCGTGATCTTCAACAAACTGGGTTTATCGGCTTTTCTCGCAGCTAGCGCCTGGAGTAAATGGACGTACTGACCACCCTGACCAATTTCAAAATCGACAACATGAAGCTTGTTACGGGTTTGATCCGATGTAGATTCGAGGATAGCTAGATTTGCTGCCATGAATCCAAGCTTGAAACATGGAGATACATCGTAGAGCATTTGGGTTGAGACCATGTGTTCTTCGCTGTAAAGTTGGGCGACAGATGGTGGATACTCCGTGGGGTTCACGCGCGACCGTAATGCCGACACCATGTATGCCGTCAACCTCTGCTTCGAAGTGCCTCTGACGTTGGAAACCTGGTTTAGGCGCGTGAGGATGTCCACTGCAACGTCTATCTTGCCTTCTGATATAGCCTCGGCAGCCTCGGTTATGGACTGTTTGGGACAAGTTACTGGTGGAGAAGCCGAAGAAGACGAGCATGAAGAAGAGGATGACGTTGGAGATGGTGAAATGGGTTTCTGACTCGGACTGATTAGGCTCTGAATCGTTTCGGACCACTCACTGTTGGTGACCACAGAGACAGTACCACCACTTTCATCGTCGTTGTCGTCTAGGAGCTGTTTTTCGAGCTCTTGAAGCCGATTCATCATCTTCTTCTCCGATTCCTGGCCTAACAACTCCTGACCCATAACTTGGTTTTGCACCGAATTTGGAAACGAAACACTAGAGAAATTGTTGGTACTAGAAGGAATCATACTATTGTTTCCGTTGCCGAAGTTAGTGATGGGTTGTGGCTGGAGTTGCGGAATAATTGGAAACCCATGCCGTGTACTCATCGGCGCCGAAGACGAAGAAGAAAGAGAAGAGGCTTCTGATGAAAGAGAAGCTGCGAAATCTACAGGAGAGAGAGGAGATATAGGAGACGTGTGCTGATACGTTCTTGGCTTCACGTTCCTGAGATAAAGCCCTAATCCTTGTTGTTGCAGCTGTTGAAACTGATGCTGTTGTTGAAACTCTGTAAGAGATCGTTTGCCGATCACATCTGATCGGCGGTGAATGATCTGAGAAGCTTGGTCGGGGAGCATTCCGGCGAGAGGCGATCTGTACGGAACTAGAGGGTTCCTCATGGGCAACACGGATCTTCCGCCGGCTGTGTAGAAGTCCGGAACTCCGGCGCCGGAGAACCCTGACGACATTATTGTGGGGGTCACTCAACCAACTACTCCGAAAAGCTTTTGATTTTTACAATAACGCATCTGAGAATGAATGAATAAAAACTGAGTGTGTGAGAGAGAGAGAGAGAGAAGGGAAGGGGGGGGGGGGGGGGGGGTGGGGACCTTTGGGAGAATTTTTCATTTAAGCTATTGGATTGATTCTTGTCATTATAAGGTCAGGGTACTTTAAGAGAGATAGGGAAAAGAGTAAAAGAAAATGCCATCAACACAAAATTTATTAAGGATAATTTATTAAACTTTAAAAATTGATAATTATATGTTAAATCAAATGAAAAATGTCAATAATTATAATCACAATAATATTATTGATTTATATCATTGTCGTATTATTATCTCAATAAATGAAATAATTTTTTTAATTTATAATAATATTTACTCATTTATTAATTTAATTTTTAAACTTAATTCTTTATAATTATTAAATTTATAGTGTAATCCACGAGTGATCTGTCTTGTGGTTTTGTGGTCTGTGTGGCTCTGTCTTCTCAGTTTATGAGAAGAATGTTGGGCATGTTCAGTGTTACGTGGCTTAATCATTTACCGTCCAGTACGCAGAATCTTTTATTCTTTTATCCGGCAGCAATCAAATAATTTTTTTTTTTTATTACGATTTTCGGGTCAGTTTATATTCATGTCGATTAATCTTTTTTTTCACAAGACTTAGAAATCTATGAATGATTAATCTCATTGATCTCTTATGATCCGAGTTTAAGAAAATTATAAAATTTTAAAATCAAAATATCTGAATTTATAATTTATTTATGTCTCATCTCTCAAAAAAAAATATTAAATATAATTAAGACACCACGTCATTAATATTATTAACTAATAATAGAATATAAAGTGAATTTAATAGACTCTATTATTTTAATAAATATTAATAATTACCTTTATTATGTTAAAATAAAAGAGTTTATCAGTCTTATTTGATTTTGTATAATTATTGATTAGGCATATCTTACCAGATTAATAATATGGTGCCGCAGGTACAGCAATATTTACTACCAAAAACGCCTCTTTGACGAAGCAAGAGGTACTCCTTGTTTGGTTTTCGAGCTGAGTGTGTGACCTTTTCTCACGCGCTCGCTCCTACCGTGATGAGCTTTTTATACGCAATCTTGGAGCTGGGATACGCGATAATTCAAATCTACACAAAACTCTCCGAAACTTATTAGAAAGTTGAGTAATTGAAGTGGTAATATGGTCCAATTTTAAAATTAATTTTTTTAAATTTAAATTTTAGTATTTTTTTAAGATTAGATCGTGATAATTTTTTTTTTATGAATACTTTAGTCTTAATTTAGATGATCTACCTTTAATTAGATCGAAGTGAAGATTAATATAAATTGATTCAAATAACCCCATTGAACCCTAAAAAAAAAAATTTCGTACATATCATATTAAATTTGTATATAGTTAATATGATTAGGTCGGTATACCAAAAATTTAAATAAATTATTTTTTTAAACAGGAAATCTCACAAAATTAGTATCAACTCCACAATACAATACAAAATAAAGTTAGATATTTACGACCACCTAAAAATGATAGGTCTCCAATCATAAATATTAATTAAATTAGAAAATCACCATAAATCAAACTTAAGAAATTTGAATCTTAGATTCTCCAAACTAATGTCACACCGCTATACTAGACATGCAAGTGTAATTAATGCTAAATAATATTGTAAAAAGTCAACTTTTTACAATATTAATGCTAAGTATTACTTTTCCCCACAATATAATGTAATTCCATTATTATTCATCTTAATTCTATTATATTTTAATTTTATCCTCACCTTTTAGCTACTAAAACTCTTTTATCTTTTCTATTCTTAAAATCAATTAATAGAATCGTGCAGATTCTACATCAATATTAATTTAAGCTAATTCTTACAAAAACTATAGTCTATTAATTTATATTAGATTTAAAATGATTAAGTTAGAGATTTATTTTAGTTGTTGTGTTTGAATTAATAATGATATTAAAATGAATTATCGATGTAATTTTTTTAACCTTTTTTATTTTATTAAATAATCATAAAATATTGTCTTGAGTTTTTAGATTAGGTATTTTAATGAGAGAATAAAATAAAAAAATGTGAGTTTTCTTTAGGTCCTACCATAAAATTTACTAGGGATAACCCGTACCTTCAGGTATGGTATAATGTAAATGATTTTGAGAATGATGTTGATGACGGTTAAATGAATCTATTTAAGACTGTCAAATGAGTTTTTATTGAATTTTGTCATGTTTTATATTGTAAATGTTATTTGAATTTTTTATAGGGTTTCGATATTAATTTTGTAAGAAGGGATTTTTTGTCTTCTCAATTAGTTTTAAGAATGCAAAAGAATAAAAGAGTTTTGATAACAAAAGGGTAAAGATAAAATTAAAATATAACAAAATTTAGGACTTAATTAAAATAAAATATCAAGAATAAGACTTCATTGATATAAAACGACTTAATAAATGTTTATGGAAAAAAATAATACGTATAAGTAATTTTCCCTAAATCTAACTAATCTTGAAAAATTATCAATTTTTCTCATTCACCTTTGATTAAGTTAGAATGATAGATAAATTGAATTAATTTTGGAATGCATAGATAGTGCCATACACCTAGAAACCTTAGATTTAAATCTAGATGATGTATCCTAGTTTTTAATGGACACTTGTGTTTTTATAGATAATTGCAATTATTCGGGATGTGTTCTTGTAAGAGTCAGAAAGTTGTGTTTAGCAAAAGGTTGCACTTACTAAGAACTCGCCACAAGAGTGGATCTAAGTAGTCCTATCTTTATGCTCGAGCAAATATAGCCCATTGCTCTATATGTAATTAGTTATAATGAAGAATAATTTATTATAAGGACATGCTCTACCAAATTTATGTTCATAAACTTTCACATTTTGAAGGTTACCTTGGACTTCTTAGGTATAAAATCTTATAATAGTATTTTTTTTTCAACGGTTAAGAGTGTTTGAATCAATTTACATATATTTTGACTAATTTTTTTTCTCCGATTTTGTCAAAATTATGTTTAATATAAATATTTGAATTTATAGTTGGCGTTTATTACCATTGAAGTTACCTGAGCTCGTTAGGCGTGGTTGGCGAGTGTAAGACAGTTTAGGTGAAGGGATGTTGGAAGTAGAGTTTTTTGTAATGAGGAAAAGGGAATGATCCTTTACAGCATTGATCACCTGACAGCACAGTTACGAAAGACCTTCTAAAAACCTAAACGACAAGAACTCATTTAATGCAACCCACACTACCGCGAAAACAACGGCATATAACACGTGCACTAACAGCAATATGCTTTCAAATTCAATAAAGTGATTGCGTAGTCACTATTACATGCTCGTTTCTGGTTGGTTGACATGGCCCAAAACATAAAAAAATAAATTTATCATGTCATATTTATCTAATATTAAACGTAAAAAATTAAATTTTAAACTTACAAAAATATATCAATGGCTATTTATTCAATTTATTTTAATTTAATGATGTAAAATTTATTCTAAATTTTTTTCCGCCTAAAAACATTATCTTTTCTGCATTATCATCAATGTCAAACAATTCAATCAATACATTCTTCAATGTCAAACAATATTACCAAATTGTGCTTACCTCTTTTTATTTTTATTTTAAAATTTGTAATTAAAAAATAAATTATTATTTAAAATAAAAATATTTCAATATCAATTTAATTTTTAACATTGTATAATATCTTTAGATATAAGATTATTGCTAAATGATAATTCGGTGTCAAACGATGTGTTAATTGAATTGTTTAACATTTTGGTTTGCGTAGATTATAAAATATCTCCAAATGTGCTAAAAATATCTTCAAATATGATAAATCAACTATAAAAGTGTTAATTTTTTTTTATATAAAAAAAGGTGGTACAAATAATTATCACAAATGTAATAAAAAAACTCAGTGATAAAAATATCCACAAAATAAATGCCAACATTGACTAAAATCTCCTACCAAAATTATAAAAATACGCATTAATATAATAAAAATTAAAGATATAGTATCAAAAAATTTTCTTCAATGGAGCTAATCTTCACCTAAATGAGGGTTTGATGAAACCGAGAGAGATTAGTTTCAAAAGTGAAACATTAAATATATAGATAAAATATTTTTTTACCAAAAAAATATAATTCTATTCACCTAATAATAATAATATATTTTAATCAAAATTTAACATGAATTCATAAGCCTAACATGTATTTTTGTCCGGACTATCTGCACTAAACTTTCAATGTTGTTTTTGATGGTCAAAATTCCCGCGACATACAAAGTCCACATAATGTCTTAATATGAATACACCAACGTCAATGTAGAATGTTAAGTTTGAGTAGAGAAGACTGCCATTAATTTCTTGAGGAAACTACCTACCTTCATTTCGTGTGTAATATGCTAAGAATGTTTTGTATTTACGATAGTCAATTGAAGCCAGTTGTTCTCCTGAACACGGGGGTGGCTTGTTTTACTTTTGGGTGCCACACGTTTTTTTGAATTGGTCTATGCTTCTGGATGTTGTCACTGACATTGAACTTCAGACTCCTTCAACCGGGTTTGGATTCTCTATTATACAGTAGGGATGGTCTTTTCAAAATGACTTTCTTTTATATGTAAAATAATATTCTGTAGAGGTGTATTGTGTCTCAAATGGTATCATTTGGAAGAACTACACATGTTTTGTACAGTAGAAGAGCCATTTTGTCTAATGGTATCTCTGTTGTACAGAAGAGCTGAGGAGGTGTGCTCCCTTCAAAGTTGTAGTATAATGTCTAGTGACAGAAGGTTCCTAGTTCAGCTTTCTAATTCTCCCATTGATGGGCGACATCAATCAGGGATGAAATGCACGAAATTAGTAATATCTTTGTATCACCATCCCAATTCTCACTCAATAATTCATAATTATAAGAAAATAGAATTTGGGCAAAGAAAATTTTTCAAACACTCTTTATTTTAAATTTATAATTTAATATGAAGTATAGCCAAAAAATACGATAAAATTGATTCAAATTTGAATAATCATAAAAAATAATC